TGTGGCAAATGTGACATGTGCATTTCTCCATTGTGAGATCAATGAAGTTTATCTCATAACAGACAATTGTATGATAGTGATGTGTTTACCTTGATATGTTTGTGTGGAAGACGGAAGATTAATGTTGAATCATGTCAATGTAATAATATCTACTACTGTCTAACAATTCAATAGATAAATACATAGATACATACGGTTGATACATATATAGATACATAGACAGATAGATACATAGATACACACTTTATGGATCCCCGTAGGAGACATCCCGGCTCTGAAAGGTCCTTTGAGCACTGAGCGCGGACATGCTGCAATCTGGCTTCTTGCCGGTGGGGGTGTAACCGGAAACAGAAATATCCATTGAATTCTAATGCCGTCTTTTATCCTCTCTAACCGTCTTTACAGGATGGTCCAAAAGTGGGATGCGAATGCGGTTTTTTCCCCTTTTTCCGGCAGGAGGCGCTTCCCGGCGGCCATTTTGAATCTGCCCATTTAGTGCATTTCCACAGAGAAAATAGGCGTCATTACTTCTGTTAGTAATTACAGTCTAAGATCCATACAAACAAAACAAATACATACATAATTTTAAAAGTGGCCAACAATAGTAGTAACAATAGGCATAGAAAATACAACCATGTGTGTCGGATTTGGTTTTGATGTTGGCTGGGTTCCGCTTAGCTTGGTGAAACTCAGTCGGGCAGACTTTATATCTTATCTTATCTGTGGGGTGTATGTGTGTGTGTGGAGTGTGTGTGTTTATGGGTGTGGGTGTGTGTGTGTATGTGTGTGTGTGTATGTGTGGGTATAGACCATAGATACATCATAGTATAGTCCCCCCCCCCCCCCCCCCCCCCCTTCTATGTGCCCTTCTGGGTTTCTTCTTTGGCCCCCTGTATCTCCAACTACATATTGTTTGTAATCTCTGTCTACAATGTATCTGAACTAGTCCTTTTCTTTGTTTTCTATTTTCTATTCTGTTTCTATTGTTTGTCTGCAATAAAATAAAATAAAAAAATAAAAATAAAAAAAATAAATAAAAAAATACAACCATCTTTTAATTGCCCAGTAAAGAAGAACCAAATAGCTTGATGCTCCTCTGATGTATATTTCCAGATAAAGACAAGCAAGATCTGAGACTTGTGCAGGTCTCGTTTAGAATTAGCGGGCCCAGTACAGCACGTGTGAGAGGGCCTGGGTATGGATCTTCTACATTAGCCCCACTTTGATGCATTCATGTGTAGTGGTGATGATCCAGGACATTTGAGGACAATTGCCGCGAACGCTCAGGTCTGGGTTAGAATCTCCCACTGAACGGTCTGGGACTTTAAGATGAGGTTGGACCGAGGATCATTCAGGATAGTATTCCAGTAAAGTAGTTCCTGTTTGGTTTTGCCGACACAACGTTCTTCGCTCTCTTCTTTGAACCGCGTTAAATCCATGACATTACTCACTTTTTCTGTGGGCGTCTTGTCCTTGGAATGAACTCCTTTTCTGTGCTAGTGTGTCGCTTGGTTTGAGCACCGAGATGACAAACACGCTGATGTTTCTTTGACAGGCCAAAAAAACCCCATTTCTCTTCATTTTCTGGCTCTTGTAGCTTACTCGGTGCTAAAAAACGTAGTCCAGACAAGTACTTTTGAAACTTTTTGGACCATGGATTATTCGTGGATGAAACAAGGATTACATTTGTTTCTAAAAATCGTATCATAAGTCGCTATCTGTCAATTGGAAAAAGTACCTTAGACTCCTCAATTCTTCCACTGGGCTGAATGTGCTGTTATCATTTCAATTTCCTCTGCAAGCGAAGGGCCGGGATCCACGGATGAGCAACAGAGATTATATAAAACTTGTATTTAAATGTTGGAATCACTCAGATTAGTGGAAGTCTGTCCTCAAAGTCCACATTGAGACTGGAGTTCATTTCTGTATCAGTCTCGCTTGCTCGGTGGAAAGACGACCGTCTTCGTTCATGGAAGTTTAGAGTCTGTTTTTTGTCTGTGTTGATCTGGACCATGAGTCTGTAATAAGTTTATCTATCTATATCTATCTATCTATACATCTATCTATCTATCTATCTATCTATCTATCTATCTATCTATCTATCTATCTATCTATCTATCTATCTATCTATCTATCTATCTATACATCTATCTATCTATGTATCTATGCATCTATCTATCATACATACAGTACCTTTCATCTGATGTCAGCCTTGTTGTCTTTCAAAGCTGGAGTTCCTAACCTGTTTTTGTTTCATAAATACTTTGTGTTTGTACCAACATAAAGTCTCGTCCAAGTAACACGTTGTCGATTGATCCCTGAAATGATCTTCAATTATATAAATTAAACTTGCTGCATTGATGGGAGAAAAGGAACCCTGGCATGTTATATCTCATTCAGACCTGGATCTTCAGCCTCAGTCCTGGATCTACAGCCTCAGTTATCTACAGTCTCAGTCCTGGATCTTCAGCCTCAGTTCTGGATCTACAGCCTCAGTCCTGGATCTACAGCCTGAGTCCTGGATCTACAGTCTCAGTCCTGGATCTACAGTCTCAGTCCTGGATCTACAGCCTGAGTCCTGGATCTACAGCCTGAGTCCTGGATCTAAAGTCTCAGTCCTGGATCTACAGCCTGCCTGTCTGTGGGAGTGGATCCCTCTCTCTGCGTTATATAAGGATATTTATGACCATATTTGGACAGTGATCGTCCAGCTCACTATGGGAACAATGTCCAAGTGTTTGTTAATACTCTATATCCTGTGTTTACAAACTGTTTGATTCTTTGGTTGGTTAGTGAAGTTAGAAACCAACGGCAGGCGTGTGGGTTCCCAACCGCGAGATCCAAATGTTGTTTTAATGTCATGTTAAAAGTTAAATAGGATGCTCTTGCGCCTGACGGTCGCCAGTTTTCCCCTGAAATATAGATGGATTTTGTTCCATATTTTAGCCGCGCCCTGGTAAAAATGCAATAAGTTCACGATGCAATAAATAAATAAGCAGCGATATTGCCCGCGTTTTATTTGGTTATGCCGACACAAATACATTTATGGAGGTTCATGAAAATGTCACTAAGTCTTTAATAAAGCAGCACTTGTTCAGACACAGCCTCGAGGCAGAAGCTGCAGCAGGGACCAGTGCAGGAGGCCTGAGAGAGAGAGAGAGAGAGAGAGAGAGAGGGAGAGAGAGAGAGAGAGAGAGAGAGAGAGAGAGAGGAGGAGAGATAGAGAGAGAGAGAGGAGAGAGAGAGAGAGAGATAGAGAGAGTGAGAGGGAGAGAGAGAGAGAATGACTAGAGAGAGAGAGACTGAGACTCTGTTCCAGTTTGGTAGGGATTGTGTTGAGTGTGCGACTAGAGAGGAGCGAGCGAAAGAGAGAGGACGACTAGAGGCGAAGCCCAGAAAGAGAGAGGCACTAGAGAGAGAGAGAGATTAGAGACAGAGATAAACAAGAGAGAGAGACTAAAAAGAGAGACACTAGAGAGAGAGACACACTAGGAAGGAGAGAGAGAGAGACACTAGAGAGAGAGAGAGATACACAAGAGGGAGAGAGAGAGAGAGAAAGAGACTAGATTCGTGTATCTCTCGTCTGTTTTTCTCTTTCTCTAGTTTGTCTCTCTCTAGTGTCTCTCTCTATCTCTCTCTCTCTAGTCTCCCTCTCTCTGTCTCTACTCTCTGTTTCTAGTCTCTCTCTCTGTTTCTAGTCTCTCTCTCTGCAGCTCAAAACTTGTGCCTTTGGAATGAATCACTGTAGAACGGTCAAAGGTGATATTTCTCTTGCATTCATTTTCAGATTCAGATTCATTATATTTGCCATTTGCAGTAAAACCCCACTGGAATACATTTGCAAAAGTCCCAAGTGTGCACAAGACAAGTACATAAATAAAACAAGGTTAAAAGTACATAAAAAACTATATATTTGTATTTTTTCAATGACAAAAACACACATGACATTTCAAAATACATTCAAGATAAATAAAAATCCAGATTAATAATATTTTGAGTGATGATGAGAACTCTAAATCTCTGAACACATAAAGCAGATAATCCACAAACGCAGACACACACAATTACTCATTCTTGATTATTTCACGGTTAAACCTGCACATTTCCCATAATGTATTCCGCGCTGGTAACTGCACATTTGTTTCCCCCGGATTTAATCTCAGAGAATTTACAAGATCTTACATCAAACGCCGGAGCTGTCTCTCTCGTCGACACACAATACGCAAAACCCCTTTTCTCCGCAGACCTTCATCACACACGCTCCCATTCACACCTATAATGGCTGAGAGAGAGGAGAGAGGGGGAGAGAGGGGGAGAGAGAAGGAGAGACGACACTGACGCCTGGCTCTCCCCCAGGGCGAGCCTCAGTCATCCCCGACACCTGCACCCCACCCACAGCCACTTTTCTGCATATTTTTAAATGAGCAAAAGCAGCGGGGGAGAGAGGGAGGGATAGAGAGATAGGGAGAGAGAGGGGAGAGGGGGAGAGAGGGGAGAGGGGGAGAGAGGGAGAGAGGAAGTGGAAAAGGGACCGAGAGGGGGGAGACGGGGGAGAGGGGAGAGAGAGGAGAGAGGGAGGGATAGAGAGAGAGGGGGAGAGAGAGGGGGGGAGAGGGAAAGGGGAGAGAGAAGAGGGGAGAGGAGGGGAGAGGGAGAGGGAGAGAGAGGGAGAAGAGGGGGGGAGGAGGGGGAGAGGGGAGAGAGAGGGAGAGGGGGGAGAGAGGGGGGAGAGGGGGAGAGGGAGAGAGGGGAGAGGGCGAGAGAGGGGAGAGGGGAAAGGAGAGAGAGGAAGTGAAAAGGGAGAGAAGGGAGAGAGAGGAGAGAGGAATGAAAAGGGAGAGGATGGGGAGAGAGGGAGTGAAAAGGAGAGAGGGGGAGACGGGGGCGAGAGAGAAGGGAGAGAGAGAGCAAGGGGAGGAGGAGGGGGGAGAAAGGGAGAGGAGGGGGGAGAGTGAGGGGAGAGAAGGAGAGAGGAGAGGGAAGGAGGGGGGCACACGTAAATGCGAAGGGAGGGCGTGATCGGAGAGAGCGCAAGTGACACGAGGTTGGAGGGCGCGTCTCCCTGCATCTCCCGCTTGCGCACGCCGGTCGCGCCCGTGCGCGTGTTCTTCTGGTCGCTGCGTCAGGCTCGTCCCTCGACGGCTCCAGTGTCTTTCCGAGCTGGGGTATGCTCATTGCTCGTCTTTCCTTTGTTACGGCTCCTCTCATTCTCTTCGTCCTTCTCTGTCGGTCTACCGACGTTGTCTTCGCGCACCGTCCTTTTGCGTTCCTTCGTCCAGGCTACTCGATTCGTACCCTCCCAGCCTAGCCGACTCTGCGTCGCCCGTCGTGTTGTTGTCTGCCGCTACCACCGTTGTTGCTCCTCGCTTGTCCCGGCTCCCGCGTCTGTTCTCCCCCGGGCTCCTGTCGCTTATCCGTGCATGTTCGCCGCGCTGCATCCTCCCGCCTTGTGCCCCCCTGCTGCGGGGCTGTGTCGCGCGCGTGCGCTCCTCTGCCTCTTTTGCTCGCCTTGGGCCGCTCTCCCCTGCCTCCTTCTCTCTTTCCGTGCTACGCTCGGCGCCGCCTCTCTCTCCGACGTGTCCGGCCTTTTGGAGCGGGGCCCGCCCGTACGCTCGTGCGCCGCTCTTTCTTTCCTCGGGACCCCCGCCGCCCTGCTAGGATGCTCTGCCGCCTCGCCGCTCGTCAGAGCTGTGAGTCCTTCTCTCCGTCGCCTTCTGTGTTGGTCTCTTCTGGAGGTGTGACGTTCCTGCTTCTCTGACCCCCGTGTTCGGGTCCCCCTCTCGATCACCGTTCCTTCGAGGTTCCTTACCTTCCTCGCTGGCCTGCGTCTTCCGTTCGTCGCTTCGCCTGCTCCCGTCTGGCTCCTCCGGCGTCGTCCCAGTGCGCTAGTTCTTCCGCGGGGTGCGCCCTTGACTCTCCCCCCTTTCCTCCATCGGCCTTTACTTTGCCCTCTCTCCTCCCCTCCTTGTCCTCTCGCTTCGGCTTCTCTGGCGGCTCGTCCTCTCCTGGGCTTCTTCCGGACTGCGTCGCGCCGCTCCTCTTCCTCTCTGCGCGCGCCCTATGTCTTTTTTTTAGTTTTTCGTGCTGGCCTTGTACGGTGCTCCAGCGCCCCGCTGGTCTGCTCCTGCTCTCTCCTGCTTTATTTTGTTCTTCCTGAGGCCTGCCTCTCGACCTCTGCTCTGTTGTCGTTTTGCCGTCACTTGTCTTTTTCCTCGCGTCGTCGCGTGTTGGCCCGCGTTGTCATCTCCTCCTTCTTTCGCTTCCTTTTGCGGTTCTTGCAGACTACATTCTCGTCTGTGCTCTGTCCAGCCCCGCGGGGGCCTCCTCCGGCTTCTCTCTGTAGTGGCGCGCTGTCGTCTCGTTTTGTCTGGTCTTTCTCCCGCGTGACACCGGGGTTCCTGGTGCCCGTCGTTATCGGTCTTCTCTGCGGCCCGCGCTCGTCGCCCCCTTTCGTAATCTGTCTCGCGTGTTCCTTGCTGTTCTAGTCGTCACATGCGGGAGTGACTCCTTGTGCTGCTCTCCTTTCCCTCCACTCCCCGGTCGCGGTTCGTCTCCTTATCGTTGTCTTTCATTTCACTCTCTGTCTCTCTTTTCTTTGTCGGTTTTCTTTTTCGTCCTTGTGTGCTGCCCTGTTCTTGCGTTTCGGCGCCCTGTTCGTTTCTTGTTCTTTTCTTGCCTTTTCCCGTCCATTGGCGGCCACCTTTCGCTCGACTCGTGCTTTCCGGCCGGCGTCTGTCCCTCCCTTTCCGTTGTCCTTGCCGCTGCCCGTGCTGCATCTTCTCCACCGACTTTCTTTTTCTCTTCTCTCCGCGGTGGATTTCCCTATTCTCGCCAGCGCTCTCTTCCTCGGTCTTTTTTTCTATCATTCTGCTTGTTTTTTTCGCGCCTCTTCGTCGGCCTTCTATCTCATTCGCGTACTTTTGACGGCACTCGCGATGCTACTTCGTCTGTTACGTTCGTCTCTTTCGTATTCGCTCTCGTCTTCTTGGCTCGCTCCGCTCCCGTCGCTCGACATCTGCGTCCTCTCCGTCCCCGGCTGTCGATTCTTTCTGTTTCCGTCCTTCTGCCTACTCTCCCTCTTCCCGCTGGCTTTACTCGGCGTTGACCCTTTCTCTGTGTCGTTTACTCCTGTCCGGCGCTGCGTATACAATGCTGTGCGCCTACCTGTTGTTGTCTTCTTTCCTTTCCTGCTCGTTCTCTTATTCTTCTTTCTCTTCTTACCATGTCTTCTGTCATTTTCTTTTGTCTCCTTCCCGGCTCCCTTGTTCCGTTTGCTTCGCGGCCTCGTTCTATTGGCCCCGGGCGTCGCTGTGTACTCCGTTTTGTTCCTTTCTGTGCCTCATACCGTTTGCTTTTTTCCTTTCTTACCTGATCCCTTGTCGAAGTCTCTCTTCTTCTGCTATGCTTCCTCTCACTCCCTCTTCGCTTTGGCGCTCGAGTACTTGTCTGTCTCTTTCCGTCTCTGCTTGCCCGCCGGGCCTGTTGTCCGTGGCTTCTCTGTCTCTCCCGTTCCTGGCGCCGACTGGTCCTTCTGCCTCGTGTCGCGGCATTGCGTGTACGCTGCCTCGTTTTTCTTTCCTGTGCTGCGCTGTTCAGTGGCGCTTCGTCGCTCTGATGCCGTCCCGCGCCGTCGGCAGTTCCTGGTCTCACGCCAGTTTGGCGTCTACGCGCTGGAATCTGTCTTGTCGAGCGCTCTCTCTTTCTGCCTCCTCTCGCCCTTTCCTCTACTGTTCTCTCTGCGTTTGTTCCTCCTGGGGGCCCCGGTCGTTGTGAGGTTTTGCTTTCTTGCGTACCCCCCCCCCCCCTCGTTCTGGCTCTCTCTATTTTCTTTCGCTCAGCCTTTTTTTGCTCTCGCCGTCTTGCTTGTGGTCGTGCGTTTGCCCTTTCTGTCTCGGCTTCTCCGGCTTTCTCTACCTCGCCTTCGGCGTGCCGTGTCTGCTTAGCACTCCGCGCCGTCTGCCCTGCCCTCTTTCGGCCGCGCTTCTGTTCGGGCCTCCTTCTCTGAAAGGCCGGTCTGCCGTCTCTGCGCTGCCTCTCGCTTTCTTAACTAGTCGCTTGCGATCCTGTCGGCGTTGACCCGGTCCTCATTCTGCCTGCCTGCTTGCCCGTTTGCTCACATTGCCTTCAGTGCGGGTGGTGCTGTGTGGCGTCCGCCGTGCTCGTGTCATCGTTCTCTTTGCCCCGCATCTTCTGCGACCTTTCGTGTGTTCTGCTATCGCTGTGGTGGCGCTCGTCGCGGAGCTTCTGCGTGCTCGTTCGCCGGTCCGCTCCCTGCCCCAGTGTGCCGGCGGCGCGCGATCGGCATACGTCGCTTCCTCCGGCACGCCCGGGTTCCGCTTTCTGGAGGCCCCGATGCTCCGCGTCGTGTCTGTTGTTGCCGCTTGGTGTCCAGGCTCTCCCGCCGGCCTCTGCGTTAGTTGTTCGTCTCCTGCCTCCTATCACGCCGCCCGTTCCCTGTGTGTCTCTTCTTCTGACTCTTATTCGCAGCTCTCTTTTGCGATTCTTGGTCCCGGCGCGTCGGTTTCGTGTCCGCTGATTCCTCCCGTTCTGTCGGTTGCCGTCTTTCTCGCGTCTCTTCGGCGTCCTTCTTAATGTTTTCCTGTCGGCGCTGGCTTCGTGTTTGTGCTTTTTCTCTTCTCAGGCCTCTCTTCCTGTCCTGCCTCTTTTGTCCTCGGTGTTCTTACTTTGCTTGTTACCGCTTCCGTTTCTCGCTCCTCGTTATCTTCCTCGTGCGTGCGTCATGTTCGGTCTTGCCGCCTGCGGCGCGTCTTCGCTCGCTTCTCTTTCCCGCTTTTCTTATCCCACATGCTCTTGTCCCTGGACGCGCCCCTCCATCTCTTCTTCATGTCTCGTGCTGTGTCCTCGTGCCTGTCGCTGTCTGCGTCCTCCTCGTTTTCGTGTTTTGCGAGCTCTGTCTGTTCGTCTACCTCCTTTCTCTCTACTTTATCTTCGGCTGCCCCGGCCACTCGTCTCTTTTCTTTGACGTTTTGTGCCGTCTCCTCTCTCTACGCCCTCTATTTCTGCTCCTTCCGTTCCCTCTCTCTTTCCTTCCGGCGCCTTTCTCTTTTCCCTGCGGGGCGTCTCCCTCGTGTTGCGCGACGTGCGTCTTTTGCTTCGCGCCGCCGCTGATACTGTCACTGTCCGTGCGCTTCCACTTCGGGTCTCGTGTGCCGTTGGCGGTTGCTGCTGTGCGGTTGTCGCTCGTAGCTTGGGCGTACGTCGGTCGGAGCTCGGGCCAGGCCGGACGCGGTGCTGCTTTCGTCGCGGCGCTCTTTCATTTCTCGTCTATCCTCAGCCGGTTCTCCTCTTCCTCTCGTGCTCGCCTCGCTTCTCCTGGTGTTCTCGTCTCTCTTCCTGCTTGCTCTCGGCCGCTGCTGGGGTTCTTCTTTGACTCCTATCTCTGTGCTGTCTATCTCGTACTTTTGGACGCCGGCCGGGATCTTTGCGCTTCTCGTTCGCGGTTCCGCCGCTAGCTACTCGTCGTTTCGGTTCCGAGCCGTTCGTTGCCGCCCTTGTCCCTTGTCTCGCGGTTGTTTTCCTAGCGGCTCGTGCGTACCCGCCGGCGCGAGTCCCACTTGGTCCGTGCGGACGCCCCGCTCGGTCCGCTTGCCTGCAGCCCCCGGTCGTCGTCTCCCGTGTTTCTCTACGTCTTCCGTGGCTCCCTTGGGTCCTGCTCCCTGCCCGTCGCGGGTGGCTCCGTCAGCGGTGAGGATCGTGGCATGTGCAGGACTCACTGCTGTCGACACCACACATATCTCTCCGCTGAACTCCCCAACCCGCATCCATCCCTCCCTGTCAGCAGATCAGGCTCAGAGCCCCTCTCTAGAGCCCATGTCCGGCGTGAGCCCCTCTCCCACCCTAATATAATAGAATACTCCGCCACCAGGTCAAGACACAAGAAATCAATGGTAGAGGAACCAACCCAACCCACCCAAACAAAACACACCGTATTTTAAATACAGCGAAGCCTGGCAAGGATGCACTGTTCAAAGGATATCAGATTATTCCTGATGTTTCAGACATTTGTGGTAAATGTGAGGCTGAGGAGACAAACGTGTTTCATAGTTTTGTGATGTGTCCAAAGCTGCAGAATGTTTGGTCGTCTTTATTTTCTGTTTTTTCAAAGATTCTAAAAGTACAATTAGAAGCGGATCCTATTTTGATCATTATGAGAGTTTCAGAACAGACCAGCAGACTGAAAACCTTCTCTGTATGGAGTTATGTTCGCCAAGAGACTCATCCTACTTCAGTTTCAGAATGGATATTGTTATTAAAGGATACGTCATGAGCAAAATAACCAATTGCACGATTCTGAACAGATTTGGAAGCTGTTTTTGTCATATTTGCAAAGTATGGACTGATTTATCTAAAAGTAATGTAGCACCCGGGAGGGAGGGGTGGTATTAGTATTATTATGTCTGTAGTCAGGTTCTCAACTGCTTCTCAATAAACATGCACAAGGCAACTCAGAGCTGAACAGAACAAGACAGAAACGATTATACACAACATTAAAATAATAGATAATCACAGTGCATTAAAAAGAGTAAAGACAAAATCAGAACCGTTTTTAACCTGGATTTGAACATTGTCAGAGAAGAAGCCTGTCTCGCATCTTCAGGAAGACCAGATTTTTTGCTGTATAAATGACTCAGAGTCCCAGCAGGAGGCCAGTCCCTGTGCTCCTCAGAGTCGCAGCAGGAGGCCAGTCCCTGTGCTCCTCAGAGTCCCAGCAGGAGGCCAGTCCCTGTGCTCCTCAGAGTCCCAGCAGGAGGCCAGTCCCTGTGCTCCTCAGAGTCCCAGCAGGAGGCCAGTCCCTGTGCTCCTCAGAGTCCCAGCAGGAGGCCAGTCCCTGTGCTCCTCAGAGTTGGTCCATATGGCTCAAACATACTTTGGTGCGAGGCCGTCGAGAGACTTGTAACAAACAGAGCTGATTTAAAGTCTATTCTCATCATTGTCAATCATCTGCGTTTTGGCTAATGTAAAAAATAAATAAATAACTTAGGCAAAAATGGTTTGTAGAATTTAGTATAGTTTTGCTACATGTCTGTGATTATATACAACACCATATTTTTTTCTGCAAACGGTAAGACCTTGGGCGTCAAACAAACAACTAAAAAACTAATTGAAAGCAATGTTGTGTCTGTGTCGTCTCTTCAGATTGAATTATCGTGTGCTGTGTGCTCCTCCTTCCTGCTGTTATGTAAACCTGTAATGCAACACTGACATTTCTCCACTGCGGACAAATCTCAAAATCTTAATCTTAACTCTCTTGAGGAAATGGATGGAGTCTGCTCTGCTCCTGCTTGGTTTGAGAGAAACCCTGCAGCCACACCGGCCCTTTCTGCACTGGTTTAGCCCCTCTGATTTAACCCCGCGGATTACTTACTCGACACAGTGGCCTAGGCTCGAATCCCGGTCAGAACAGGGCCTTCCTGAGTAGAGTTTGCATGTTCTCCCCATGTCTACGTAGGTCGATAGGTCTGAGTGAGTGAACGGAGGGTATTGATTCAGGGCTTTGATGCACCAGTGTGTGATAATAAAAATACATCAGATTTATATACAGCGCTTTTCCAGAACTCAAAGACGTTTCACAATTTAGAAAAAGCACATATACACATTCAGACGGACACACAAGGCTAAAAATCTAAAAGCAGGAAAGAAGAGTCGTGTGCTTGGAGGAAGAGGAGTTTGTAGCTGTTTTTCGAAGGCGTTTACTGAGTCTGATTTTCTGATTTCTAAGTTACTCAGTTCCAGTCAAAGCGTTCGAGAAGCCTCCAGATCTCTCACTACACGACTACCTAAGTTGACGTTCAAGCCGCTACACAACTCATCTCCTCCGCAACCCTCTTAAATCCACGGTGCGGATATGATTGCCTTTTTTCCGGAGCACATCGCGTGTCGGAGAAATGACAGCGCCAGTCCCCATCCGCATAAAGACACCAAGACGGAGCTGTCTATTATTAGCCGCGGAATCTCGACTCCCCGGTGACAGCAGGACAGATGAACCTCTTTCCACTCCCGCCACCTTATTTAAATGTCAAAGAGGAACATCACTGAACACTAGATTTCAAACATTTCTCTGCTTCGCTTACGCAGCCGACGTCGCTCTGTCACTCAACATTTGCGCTTAGACAAAGGAGGGACTCTTTTTCACAGAACGCCACGTCCAACGCCATGGGATTTAACTTATTGTGACATTCAAAAGGGTCTGACTTTGTTTCAGACAGCTGTTATAGAAGTGAATGGTGCTTGTCAGAGAGAGAGAAGGGTTGGTATTATACAGTATCACATTCATCGTTGAACCGCGAAAGAAACGGCTCCTGTCCCAGTTACATACTAATTCAATTGAGAGAGTGAATACACGTCATGTTGGGTTTGATCGGAAGCCCAACAGCAGATCAGTGCACGGCGTATAGATTCCAGGGAGGGTAAATGTATACAGATATGTTGGATTATGTAAATGTAAGATAGTGCGTTATGTCTTCTTTATGTTTAAGGCTTAGGAGGTTCTTTAGATAAGACAAAGAGAGTAAAGAAGCTAGTCTCGCTTAATTAGTCGCCGTGTTTGGGCGGTAGACTTCTCTCAGAGGAAACATAACGGTCTTCATGGCTGTTTCCGGATGCGAGAAGAAGTGAGTCCCAGTCTGACGGATCAGATCGATCGAAAATGGTCATAGTGTTTGTATAGCCTTAAATCACAACAGTAGGTATCGCGGAAGACTTTACAAAACCGTTGAATTAGCCAAAACATATCAAACACGAGAAATGCAATGATTAAAAACACATAGAGGCCTTGGTTTATGAGGAGCAGAGACCAATGTTTATGAATGTGGTTGAATGTCGATTGTCCTGGATCATCACCACTGTCCAGTTTCTCCTTGCCGATGCAGGAGGGACAAAGAAAAACATATTTCCTCTGGCGAAAAGGTTGAAGTCTACCACCGAAACATGTGGTAATTAATCAGGACTGGCTTCTTTATCCTTTTGTCTTATCAACAGAACCTTCTAAGCATTGTAAGTACTTTAGTGACTGCCAAAGAATATTGTGCCTTCAGTTTCTCAATATGGGCCTTCACGAGGTAGCTCACTCTTTTCCAATTGTATTATTATTTGGGGTCATTTATTGCTGATGCAGAAGGCTCTCAGGACAGTGATGATCCAGGACATTCAATGACGTTCATAGTCATTACCCAACACGTAGTATAGTATGGACATTATAGTCGTTATGTTGGCTTCTATGTGTTTGTCAAGATCACATTTTCTGCTTTTGAACTGTGTTATTATCTGGTCTGTTGCCGGTGAATCGACAACCAAGTGCTCAGAGACGACAGCTGTTGTGATTTAGGGCTATACAAAAATAACATTGAATTGAACTGAACTTTAGGTTATTTCTCTGTGGTAATAAATGTCAAAAGGGAGAGAGAAAAGTCAATTGTAACCAATCACTCACACATGCAGTGAAAGAAAAAAGTGACCGTAACTTCTCCTGCTCCCAGAATATAACTGTGGCGTTATGTGTTCGTCGTGCCTCACATTTGCCTGTCAACAGTTCCTAGCAAGTGGTGAGTGGGGGTGAGCAGGAGGGTGACAGGGTCTGGAGGGCAGGTTCACACTGGGGCAAAGTCAGAGATGAAGTACATGTGTAAGCAGGTGTAAAAGTTCTACTGTGAGGTGTTGTCTGACCGACCTAGTCCATGATCATCTCCTACATGTACGTCTGGTCTTACCATGTGTAAACTCTGGTCCATGATCATTTCCTACATGTACGTCTGGTCTTACCATGTGTAAACTCTGGTCCATGATCATTTCTACATGTACGTCTGGTCTTACCATGTGTAAACTCTGGTCCATGATCATTTCTACATGTACGTCTGGTCTTACCATGTGTAAACTCTGGTCCATGATCATTTCCTACATGTACGTCTGGTCTTACCGTGTGTAAACTCTGGTCCATGATCATCTTCTACATGTACGTCTGGGTCTTACCATGTGTAAACTCTGGTCCATGATCATCTCCTACATGTACGTCTGGTCTTACCATGTGTAAACTCTGGTCCATGATCATTTTCTACATGTACGTCTGGATCTTACCATGTGTAAACTCTGGTCCATGATCATCTCCTACGTGTACGTCTGGTCTTACCATGTGTAAACTCTGGTCCATGAACATCTCCTACATGTACGTCTGGTCTTGCCATGTGTAAACTCTGGTCCGTGATCATCTCCTATATGTACGTCTGGTCTTACCATGTGTAAGCTCTGGTCCATGATCAGTTCCTACATGTACGTCTGGTCTTACCATGTGTAAGCTCTGGTCCGTGATCATTTCCTACATGTACATCTGGTCTTACCATATGTAAACTCTGGTCCGTGATCATCTCCTACATGTACGTCTGGTCTTACCATGTGTAAACTCTGGTCCGTGATCATTTCCCACATGTACGTCTGGTCTTACTATGTGTAAACTCTGGTCCATGATCATTTCCTACATGTACGTCTGGTCTTACCATGTGTAAGCTCTGGTCCATGATCATTTCCTACATGTACGTCTGGGTCTTACCATGTGTAAACTCTGGTCCATGATCATTTCCTACATGTACGTCTGGGTCTGATCCTAGTGGCTGCTCGGTTGAATCCTCTCCGACCAATCAGAGAGCGAGAGTGGGTGTTGTAGGTCGGTGTCGGTGAGTTTGGAAATGGCTGCGGATATCAAGAAATCGAAGCCGGAGCAAGAGGAATGTTTAGCTACTTTTGTTGCTGGCAAAGATGTTGTGGCTCTACT